CAGCAACCAAAACCGGCGCACGAAAGTTCATGGTTAATGGTTGTTCAAACTGAAACTGAACAACTAACCGAAAACCCTACCAGGATTGGTATATCCCTATATTAGGTCTGTTTCTGGTTACCTTGCACCTTCTACCCACTACCTGCCTCTACAGGCATCGCACACCGACGAAGCTTATCCCTGAACCAGCGCAACGCGTTCCCTTGCCTCCGCGATTCACGGAGATCAAGATTTTTTTAGTGCGTGAGCACGATGACAAACTCAACATTGCTTATCTGGTTGTCCCACCAAACTCGCGAAAGGAGGCTTAACCTGCACTATGCTACCACGGTTAGTCTCTTTATCTTTCTCCCCTAACGGTCATGCCTGCCGAATCGTCTTCCCATACAGATAACTCTTATTTACCTTTGAACCAACTGACTGATCAATCTCATCAATACAGATCTTGGCGTGTTGCAAGTGTAACTAAGGCACTTTATGACAGTGTGATGAGTCTTGTTGAAAAGACAGAAATCAAAACCGCCGCACGAAAGTGCATAGCTAATGGCAGTACAAACTGAAAACTGAAGTTGTTGAAGTAGAAATAGACCCAGCATCAGGGAATGACCAAAAACTGCTTCAGTTGGTACGCAATACAGGGTTTCAGAGGATCCCGGTTGTTGAGACCATCAGCGAAAAAAACATACAGGGACAGCAGCTTGATCGTTGTTCGGAGTGCTTTAGGTAATAGTTCGGCTGCCTTAGTGCTAGCCAGGTTACTCCAGTGATTGCGACTGAAGCTCCATAGACAGTGCCATGTGGACCGCACAACGGCACTAGAAGTATGAACCAGTTTTTAGCTCTGAAGAGAGAAAACGTAACTTCATCGTAGACGAAATATTTTGAAACGCCCTATGTGGTCAAATGAACACCTGGAGAAAAACTGTGTAATTTGGAGCACGCTGATGACATTGTCATTAAATATTAGATTAGATTATTATCATATATTTTATTTGATGATCAGTAGACGAGGTGAACCCCATTATCATGGAGGCCTGCTGTTCAGTGATGTAAACCGGCAACCAAAACGTCGGGAGTTGGAGTAGCGAACTACATAGGGTCCCTCTAGATTTGAATGTGTTGGGGATGTGCAAGGCACAATTGGCAAACTAGAGTTCTATTACTCTTCGCAGTATATACTTTGAACTTTCAAAGGGTAAGAAGATGCCTCAAGACTGGTTGCCGAGTAGGTCCGAATGGAACCCAGGTGGTCAGGACTTGGCTGTATTGGATTTCTTCTCTTACCTGTGTAGTCGTACGATGAATGGCAGTTTGAGGTGACTGCACGCTGAACTGGAACACCTTTGGTGTATACCTTTTGTTTCATTAAAGTTGAATAATCGCGTATATTGTGTCATAGTGTGATCAGTTTTGCTTCACGGCTATGAAACCTTGAGTTCGTGCGTAGAAGATATCCGTCGACCAGGAGTTTTCGACTATCAATGCTTATGTAGTTTGGCAGAGGTGGGATGAAGTGAGGTGATCACTAACCGCGAAATAAGCCTTCGTGTTTAGGAATTTTTCAGTGAGAAATTCTTCGTTGAATTTCGATTTAGAACAAAACAGTGTTCCGAACAAGCTCGTTATCGTACAGGTAGATACCATTCACCATGATTCATACAACCAACAAGGGAAATGGTAAATTACAGACCTAACAGTTCATATCTTTCGGTTTCGGTGGTTTGTTCACATATTGTGCATGTATAACAGTCATTTATCACGTTGCTTTTTGTTTACCCTTTGCCTTCCGGTATGGAAAAACCACGTGGTTCCCAACAGATGACATAAAGACAAAGCATGAAGAGGTACGCAGAGCAACTAGATAGAATTTTTCTGTCGTCGTCGAGACTGGGGTCCAATGAACTCCGTGGCCAGTTGGTTGAAGACATTATAGGTCATGCCGACAAATGGACAGCATTAGCATTCTTTTTGTCATCGTTATTGCATCAGAATATATGAAGAGAATTGTGTGCATAGGTAGATTGTGTACTCATTGTGTTGCCGTTAGAGGTTTAATCCCCCTCCCTCAAACAGGTATGTTTTCTATTAATACTACACATTTGTACTTTGTGTAAATTGTGATTTTGGCATTGATCCGTGAAGGTCGCTTGACTGTACCACATATGATGATAATGTCAGTGAAATATACGTCCGTTTCTATTGCTGACAGTTGATCTTGTCATGTAAGGCATTCATCCACAGAGTCACTGGATATCATAACATGCAATCAGGTGCTCTATCCAATGGGGATACTGTTTGTGGACGTTGATATTCAAATCTGTAAGTGTATTGTTTTCCGTTTCATATCAAATTTAATTTAATTGTTTCTCCTCCACTCCCTAATCATGTCTTGTTCGAAACTCCACTCTCCCGACCGTCCGTAGACTTTTTCCGTTCGGATCTGGAGCAAGCCAAAAACCGGTTGCATCAATTTTTCAGTCGCATTTACGGGTACAATTACAAGTTGCATAGAAGCTTCTTTTTCCGATTTTTTACTGATTTGGAAGAATACATGGCTGGTCGGCGAGGTCGACTGGCCGGTCTCATTGATAACTTTTTCAATCAACTGCGGGACAACATCGTCAGTCTAATTGAACGCTCGGCCAATCCGATGCTGAACAACCGACCAGGAGGTGCATTCGGTATGGGTGGTGGTGGTGGCTCGAGTAACAATGCTCCCGGTGCCGATGGCCCCGGAGGAAACAGTGGCGGAGATCAGACAGCTACAGACGAAGCAGCTGAAGCACGTCGAATCAAATGCCTTTCGGAGCGTGTTGCGCAATTACGTCCATTTGATGAAGTGGATGTGCGACTAAAGGCACGCATCCTTGAAGCGTATCCACCGGCCCGAATGCTGGTCAATGTGATGTCCACTGCCAGTCGGCTTCTGTCGCACTTGGCGTTCCAGGTTGGTATTATACCTTTCGGCTTCGTTCTTTTAACCCCCCTTTGGCAAACTATCGATATAAATTCTTTATTTACGCCTGTTTGTTTGATATCTAGCTGTCGTCTAGATTCGTACTGAATTATTCTGCGCTTTGATAATCAAATTAAGAGTTTAAGGAAGTACGATGACTCAGTACAGCTTTTAGACATTAAGGACTAGAAATTGATTTAGCTTTTAATGTCAATTACAACACTTCAGAAACATTGTACAACTGTTTTGTCTGGTTAAAACTAGTCACCCTTGCGTATTCACCGAGCTGGGGATGAATCGAACCTGAGTAATGTCGTCCAAGTCTGGATTCGAGCTGTCACCTGCTCTGACCGAATGGGTTCAGTTCAACATGCTAGTACGATATTACTTTATCAGAGTTATCGATCTTTGATGTGTGTATGATCTGTTTGAAATCAGAAGACCCTTAACAAAATTAATTGCTTCGTATATGTATATGTGATTATCATCCGTTGGTCAGTCCACCAATGTCGATTCAACGGGCCCACCAGGCGGCCCAATCTCTCTGGGTCTCATCAAATGCACGTTCCTCAGTCCACCAAAACCGAGGTTTCGTGTTGTCTAACCGAGCTTCCTCTGATTGTTAACCCAACTCCTCCTAGTTCACCAGGGCAATCGTGTTCCGACGATTCAACTCAATTCAACAATTTTTCCCAAATCAAGGGCTCTTCTCCAATTATGTTGATTGAAATGTATGTGCCAATCCACCGTCAAAACTGCCTGGTGCGTTATTTCCCCAAAATTTTGCCGAATTCCACACCTGATTTGGGGTTAGAATTAGTACATAATTCATTTAGTCAATAACTTCACCACGGTGTTTGTTCATATATCAAGATGATTAAAATACCCAATGCAATCTATCACTCAAGTGAGGGGTTAATTTCGGACACCTTTTCCCTAATAGTTTAATTTTTAACGGTAGTGCATGATCGCGGGGTGACTTCCCAGACATTGGCCGTGGAAAACTTACTGTAACTGGTAGACATTTTCAAGGAATTTTTAACAACTTATTATCCGAAGTGAATCCCATCAATAAACAGTCATTTACTAAGGGACTGCTCTGCTTCAACTGACAGCACACCACTCAGTGGGATGCATTCTGCCAGCCAACTGTTCCCTTCAATAAACAGTTTTTTTCATTGAGGGTAATCTGTTGCCGTCGTGGTTGAGTGAAAGGGAAGCACACTGAAAGAAGGCGCTCCGCTTTGTCTAACCACGTAAGGTTGTTCCTTGACATTTTCTTGTGTTGCACACACGCACACAGCTCTCCTCGTGGAACTGTTGTGCACACGGAGCCGACTTCTTCCACACAAATAGTTTCAGCGCACCGCGTGACCCATGTCCGGTGTCTTTAGTTCGATACAATGCAACCGTGTCGTGTGACCTCCTCCCATCGAACTAACACGAAACACGCACAATTGTGTTGAATGCCACACCGCTCATCCAATAAGATGATGGACGGACGAGAGAACGGCTGCTGAAGCCTGTCTACTCGTTCTGTTCACGTGTGTGTGTGTGTGTGCGACTGTCGAACTGTGCCACGCTGTGCCATATATCTGTGCCTATATCTTTGCTGCGGTTGTAGATAGCGTTATCGCCAAGGTGTGCGCGTGTTCGGGCACAGTGTATCTGCCATCACAGTCAGTCCCCATTCCGAACCACTCTGTTCACATTCATTCATCCCACTTCGCACCGCTCGCTCAGACACCACTTGAAGTATCATGGCTTTGATCTTGCCGCCGCCACCTCATCCTCATTCGATGTTTCCGCCATTTGTGCTCCTCTGCACACACATGATTATGCTAGCACAAGTGGTCGTTTGGGCAACTAAATTCCAGTGCTTGTATCGTTGCCCATGTGCATGTTTGCGTGCTTGTACCCTGTGGCACCAAAACTGGGTCAGGATGTGGAGCATGCGCGCACACACGCCTTCCCCGTGACCAATCGCAGCACCAGATCGATCGGAAAAATGCACGCATGCTTGGCGGTCGTAAGCGAATATGACCTGCATTACGGGTCATTGGGGTGGTAAAATTCCCTATCCCCCCCCACCCCTCTCGTCGTTAGGCTTGGTTCAGAGCAGAGCCCATCCAAAATAAACAGCACGCACAAACGGATAGCAGTTAATCACTGGTCCCTCAATCTGAACACTAACGCCCCCATACCGTCTTGCGTTTCTCGCTCTCTCCATTTGGATTTCATCGGTCATAATCTGTCTCGCGAATGGTTGTTTTTTTAAGAAGAGAATCAATCCCATCGTAGACATAATTAGAATCCGTTTTTCCCCTATCGACCATCGTTCCTCACAGATGGCGTTTGCTTATAACCAGCCACCTGTTGTTTGTGCCAGAACAACCATGCAGCCCATTTTGTACTTTATCTCTACCCGCCTCCTATACCCCCACACACACGCACACAGGAATATTCAGAGGGATTTGGTGATGCGGGGTCCGTACTGGCATACTACACCCAATCCGGCATGTTTTTTGTGTATGTAATGGCCGACAAAGTGGGATTGGGGGAAACCAAGTCACGTTTCCCAACTTGGTCACATTGACGCCACTGTATGGAAAGACAGCTGGAAGTGGCCAGTGTGATCTTCGCAACAGGTTCAATTTTGTTTACTGGAGCTTAGAGAAATGCTGTCACCTTGTAAATAATCACATTTCACACCCTCATCAATCAGGTTATTACGGGTATCCAAACCGAACATGTGTGGAATTGACGTTCTATAACCGTCAAATAGATTGTTTTTAAAACGTCAAACTGGGTGTGTGAAACGTGTCGTGCGTGCAATAGCAATTCAACCAGTGACTGATCCAACAATCCATGTTCGTATCAAACGAATAGACAAGTGCGTGATTAAAACACGTACCAGGGTTCACTTGGTGTTACCAGTCTCAAATCACAGGATATAACATTGATGATTTCATCGAATTTTCTACGCACACTAAGCGTATTCCGTTCCCGTTTTGATATTCCCAGTTCTTCTTCTTTGCGTCCGTGTCAATTTCACATTGGCGTTTGATGGGAGCTTTTAGGGATTGTGTGCATCCGCATCTTTGTTTCTCCCCATGATATGTCCTATAATGAATAGGAGCATATGACAATACACAGCAGTACCTGAGGATGCATGCGATTAGTGGTAGGTCTGTCAGCAACCACAATACAGTACAGTGTGCACGTAATTAGTCACGTGTTCACTTTACCACCTGAGTTCCAACGACATTCGCAATAAAGACTCACGTTCTGTGCTTGGATTCTGAGTCATAACTGATCACACTTTCCAACCAACGATATTCTTTACCCCCCCATCCCCAGCCGAGTACGGTCAGCGTTATCCTTAACTTGTTCATTGCCTTACACCGTCATGAACTCGATTTCGTGACATCTTCCATCTGTCCTCAGAAATCGCAACAATTGGTGCGGAAGGCGATGGGCGTGTGGTAGCTATCTGTGTTCTATAAATGTTGTCTGACCTCTTCATTCTTCAATATTATGCCATCAGACAATAGCAATGTCTATGAGGAAGTTATCACCGACTAAACAAGTCCTCCGAGCTTTCCTGACGCGAGGGACCTTGTCTTACAACTATACATCAAACGAACTTTCAACTGGTTATGGTCCCAATGATACAGGTACGGTAGCATTATGAGCTATTTTAGACACAACAATACCTAAATCATATGCCTTGCTCATTAGTTCGGCAAACAGATTTTAGGAAACGGCATATTGGCAGTATACGTCGGGGTGACATTTGAATCTTTATTTATTAGTACTGGAGAATTTAAAAAGGAGCCATATAGTAAAATCGGTAAAAACGCATTGGGAAGCCAAGAAAAATACTATATTAGGCCTAACGCGGAGCCGCCTAGGCTGACGCAGCATACACTCGATCCTTCACACAGCCGATTGTCGCGGCAGCGCCACAGTTCTCTCAATTAGGCAAATACCAATCGTGCCTTCTGTATGCGAGCTGACACTTCATCCTTGTTGCGTCCACCGGGTGAGATATAGCTCGCCAAGTAAAAAAACTTGTCCACTTACTCTATTACTTACCCAGTAAGAATGAGGCTGTGTTGGATTAACCCAGTCTTGTAGCAACATCATACATCATCATCATCAAAACGCACACCGCACATGGCTACACCAGCACTCAAACTATCCAGAAAGGCTTGCAACTTATCTGGATCTTCACTAAGCAGCAACAAAAAAGTGCCGTTAGTATAAAGGGATCGCGAAACTGAAATAAAACTGGAGCACACTCTTCAAAGCGAGGCAGCGCCACAGTTTAGAGCAGTTAACTGAGTCAAAGGCCGCTTTCAGATCGAGGAAGATGGAAATGGTGAGTCTAGAAAAGGTGTCTGTGCTTTCAAATTTGTCGAAGGGTGAAAATGTGGTCTATAGAACCTCAACCAGGTCTAAAACCAACCTGATTCTCACGTATGCACTCTTCACATGTGGCAGACAATCGACGGAGTATGATCGCAGCGAGAAGTTTATAGGCAGTATTGATTAAACTAATTCATCTGTGGTTTTCCCTAGAGGATCCATCATTTTTCATAGTGTCATCCGAACGAAGTTTGGAGTGTATCGAAGAATCGATGCTCCATGTGATATGTTTTATATAAGTTGTAGTTATGAAAACACAGCGATGTCGGTACGGGTGAAAATAAACTGACGTTTCCGTTACCGTGGGCAACCTTAATCAAGGTGATTTTACAATCGAATCATTTTTCTTGTAAATCGGCAAGATGACCTATTCACACCATTCAGCTGGAACCTGTCCCATCTCCCAGATTCAGCCCATGAGTTTCGTCAACTTCAAGACCAACGCACAACCGACTTCCATCCTCGTGGTAGCCCACACGGAGGACGGTTTTCTGAGGAACCCTAACTGGAGGGTTCGGCTCAAAAGTCTTACCCTCAAGGACGTGGGGCGTAGATCCAACTCGAGAGCGTGACGGAAGCACCCATGTGGGAAATTCTAGAAACCTGTCACGCAAGGCCTTCGGGTATCGGTTCAATGTATTGTTCGCTGATGCGTTGATTGTCGGTCTACTGTTCGGGATTAGCCCTTAGTTTCATGCGCCCAATGATACAAGCAGAACTTGGACGGGGCAGTGCCTTATTGGCTGGGGCTGTCCAGCTTGGGTGGCCGGTAGCTGTCGGATGCAGTGCGAAGACTTCCTCCACCGTCGAGAGGAAACCTTCAGGTACCCCGCTCCCATGTCCATCTAGTGGTTTTTTTATCGGTAAACTGCCCCTCACCGTGTTTATTTGCCGAAGTGACCTTTTCAGGGGCGACAGTGGGTAGACAAAGTAAACCAGGAGGTGCCCAAGCAGCTGGCCTTGTGAGACTGAGCTTCGTCTGGCCCCTATCCATTAACTTTTCAGGCATTATTGGATCTGCGGCTGTGAAAAGCCTTCTTGAATAGCACTCATGATCATGGAGGCACGCAAGTCATCACACCACGTCAAGGTGCAGTCTCGTGATGGATACTTTCTTCACACATCAGGAGGCTTTGAGTAGATCAGCGCGGATTGCGTATCTTAACTATGAAACTGAAGCCTCACTCGTTGATTAAACCCCGTCAACTGTCATTTATGTGTTATCAGGCTTCCGCGCTCAATCTATATTCGCAAGGGAAGTAACGTCAAGAAATCTTTGTTCGTCATCTCACCACGTGTGCTGACCCGATACACAGAAGGACAAGTTTTACAACTAACTCGCCGAGCCTATCCTATTGGACGAAAGGAACTGATGATGTTGCCTACGAAACGTCTGCGAACAACACTTTCAGCTCGGAAAACACACCAACATCCTTCGTAAGGGCTATTACTGTGTTTCCCATATCATATCTGATCACATGAGCGTAACCTTTCATCCTATAGCGAGTCACTGATCGTTCCCATTTTTAAGAGGTGATCTCACAATGACTGTCAATCACCGTGGAATAAATTTAATTCCTGTTGAAACCTAAGTGTTAGCTTTTGGTAGACTTCACTGCCGAAAGGTTTTTAAAGGAGCAGGTAGTAATTCTACCAGGTTACACTGTGTTAACTTTTCGATTTACATCGCGTATATTATTAACCAACGGTAGCACTGTTCCTGGACCCAAAAGGTACTTTAAACTCCCTTGACTGGGAAGTTCTCTTCGGTTCCCTTTTCCGCAAAGGAATGCCTCAAGTATATTGAGCGTTTAATGGCACTTTGTTGATATACTACAGTCCGCGGAATGGTCTACGATGCACCAAGTAGATCGTTCGCAATCAACAGTATTGTTCTCCAAGAATAACCTATTACCCCATTGCTGTTCAATTTTGTCGTATTGTGGACATCGAATGGATAAAAACTGTGCAACTCATAGCACACAGTATGTTTCAGCGTGTTTAGGATGCGCAAAGCACATCCTTGCGGTAGGCGTTTAGCACACATTCGTACTTACTTTTTGTGTATCGTGACTTCGGCAACAATCAATGAAGTTCATTCGATGGTGTCTGGTTTTATATTACGTTATATTTAGCAGTTTCATGGTGTGGACACCTGTATTGTCACATTCAGTGCACGACCAGCTAAGTTATTATCTTATTACACACGCACCTGAGTTCGGACTGTGCCAAGTAAGTCCCAGTACAATAATCTTTACAAATATAAAAAGTTCCATGATTTTCTTGTGGATGGGATTCTGCCACTTTGCCCAAGCCGAAACAGCTTAATTTACTCTGGGGAGTCAACCGCAGCCTTTGACTAACCAAAGCCTAACCCGTAAGGTAACGGGGTTGTGTGTAAAAACCTCAATCCATCGGATGCCGTTGTCCAGTTCATCGAATCATACGCCCATTTTACTGGGTCAAACATCCAAGGTGCCCGCTCAAGCCAGTGACCACTGTCACACCCAGTAAGGTGGGTGTGTGTAGCTCGTACACCTGTTCTTGTTTGGCCTGGAAATAGGGTTTTAGCCAACCACCTTAGGTCAACTGTTCATCCGGTGAAGGCACCGAGTAGGACTTCCTCCGCAGAGGTTATTTGAGAGTCTTGGTCGTATAGGAGCATTTCAAGAGGGAGGGCTAACTTGCTAATAGTGATAGGTATACCCAAACAACTGTGAGTTAAATGTGAACATAGATGCCGTTCAGTTATAACTGTTGACCAACAATGCTGTTCACATTGGCGGTCTCCTGCCAGTCCGGACGAAACAGTTTACAAATCGTGGGCTCAAAGTGCATATCCCGGACTAGTTCAGTCTTACTTTACCGTTGCTAACTCCTTGGATAGGATAAGCTGGTTCCATGGAAGTATGCATGTAACAATCATATAGTCTCATGGAAGGTTGGTGCGAGAGACATCCGCAGTATCACTTAGCGTTTTGGCTCGAGGGCTCTCCTCCTGTCTTTATACAACCAAGTGTGCAATTCAAAGTAGCAGCACGTTGATGCATGGTTGCCGGTGGCTCCGTAAGAGCTCCTTCGCCCCTCGGTAGATGTAACTGCACTCCCGGGTCCATACGTTCCCGTTAGTTGGACAGGCTTCCTTCATAGCCACTGGATCATGTAGTAGATCTCGTTGTTTAACCCTCCTACTTTATTTTTGTTTGGTACTCCAGTAAAAGTAGGTTTTTTATTGCATACCTAAGTATGTTGAACAGCCGACGGGGTGGAACTCCATAGTCACGAGGACCTGCTGTTCAGTGATGCTAACCGGCAACCTAAGCCCCGGGACTTAGAGAGGCGAACCGCATAAGGTCCCGATAGGTGGCGGGGCTTGAACCTCGAACCATAGGGTCCAAAACACGTCGGTGACAGCGACTAAACCACTACACCACCACCAGGTTAACGGGGCAACAATGTGGGATTTTCCCCCACACCTTTCCCTATTCGTATTTATTCTTGTTGTTCAGGCAGTTTTATCCGGTTTTTTATGCATCGCTTTAGTTGTTCTCATTTATCTCCCCCCCCTCCACGTCCCCCTAGCCTACACATAGACGTTGCAGTTATTCTTTGGATCAACACAAAGTATTATGTTTTTGTTTACTCGCCCACCTCTTTTCTCTTTCTTTCCTAATCTCGTGTTGATGATTATGTTCCGGGGCATGTCTGCCAATATGCGGTTTTCTTCAATTTCACACTGCTCCCCTGGAGTTCTCCGAGCAGCCCTCTGTCATCACGTCTTAATCACTTGGTCTCTAAAACAGTATATCTTTCTTATTTACTTATTTTATTTATTTATTACCTGTGAGTAATGGAGGATTTGGTTAAATTTCAAATGGAAATTCGTCGTGTCTATGGCAAATAAAGTGTGAACTGAAAAGCTAGGAGGCACTGAACAGCTGTTTCGACCTGGCTGGGTCTCATCAGCAGTGCGAATTCATTGACCCAACTGGGGATCAAACCCGGGACTTCATGGGCAGAACGCAGGCATGCTACCCACTATGCCACCGAGCAGCTACTCAGACCGTGTAAGTGGGAAAATGAATATATGAATATGATTGACTATTGATCGGGCAATAAATTCTACTCGTGCAATCTCTCGCTTATTCTCGATCTGTATCCTTTACCCAAAAAAAGGTTTTCTCGGTTGCAATCATGGCGGTAGGATACATTAAAACACAAACAATATCGCTGTTGCGCAAACTCACTATCGAGTTTCTTGTCCTGATTGTTTATTCACTCCTAACCACCGCGTTCGATCAATTCGCTTAGAACGCACATGTATCGCTGGTTTGAAAATTTCACTCGTGGCCTACTCATTGGTTTGATTGAGATTAACTCGTTCCCCCTATAGCTGATTCTCTTTGCTCCTCTCTTTTTGTGGAGTAAAATATCCTATCAAGGAGAATAAACGGGATCTCGAGACTGGCTGGAGTGAGAAGTCACGGTTTTGTACATTGCAGATGTCACTAGCATTGTCTTTTGATCAAAACTGGTATTTGCTTGTCTAGCCTTTGCACCTCTTGAACCAGTACAGTAATCTAATCGGGTTCAAAATAGTGGCGAGCCTTGGATTTAAGTGTCCTCTTTCTCTCATGTTATGATGTGTACTCTTTGCAAGGAAAATAGTTTGTGACTGATCTTTGTTCTCTCCTCACCCCATGCTATGACGTTTTCCTCGAGAACAAGAGAAGGTTGACTCCACCGGGGATGGTAATGATGAAACTTAATCACATCCTGTGTGTACTAGTTTTGTTCTAGCATAACACATTGCGGGGACTACGAATCCTCTTGTTACCGCGTTCTTATCCAAAATAAACTTTATTATTTTTTTCTGTCACTAGGTCAGTGAACGACCGGAATGTGTTCTTGGACTGACTCGATTTCGATTCTGTGCACTCTGTGGCGGGAAACCATCCGCTTCAGCCTGTCCGGACAGTTGTCCTCGACTGATGGCTCCGTGTTTGCACGTGAACGGACCGGAAGCTGCTCAGTTGTCTGCGATCTGGCCTCGCTTGATTGGTTAGTGACGTATCATTCTGCGGTGTGTTTGTGTGCATACTTCTTGAACGAGGAGTTCGGGTAGCTCCGCCCACTTAATCTGTCAAGAGATACAGTAACAGAAGTTGCCCAACAGTAGGCAATTAAGCTAA